AGGCACAGAAAGCAGATTCCTTCCACAAGTCAGTCCAATTTAACAGAGAAAAAATCGGGAGTCCAGATTGAAGGAGATTCGGGAGCTCGAAGAGACAGAAAGCATTTTGGATCAAAATCAGGAGCTCGAAGAGACAGAGAAATTGAAGGAGAAGAGTAGAGGAACTAACCTTGAGTCCAGATTTCAGGAGATTCAGCCAATTTCGGGTTTTCCACGCAGATCTAGGGCTCGAATTTTCCACACAGAGCCTGAGCCTTCGCCATCGCCATCGCCGAGGTATCTTCTTCTTCTTCTTCTTCTTCTTCTTCCTCTCTCTCTCTCTCTCTCTCTCTCGCTGCGACTGCGACCATCGCTGCGACTGCGACCATCACTGCAACCATCGCTGCGACCAAAACACTCGGCTGTGATGTGAGTGTTGTCTGAGTCGTTTCTGCCTTATATATATATATATATATATTTTTTTTTTTTTTTTGTTACATGTATGAATAATTATATTTAATACCCCTTATAATTATATTTAATACATACGGTAATTACATTCAATACCCAACAGTAATTACATATAATAGTTAATACCCACTGTAATTATATTTACCACCCACTATAATTACATTTAATAGTTAATACCATTGTAATTACAATTGATATCCACTGTAATTACACTTGATATCCACTGTAATTATACTTGATACCCACTATAATTACATTTAATAGTTAATACCCACTGTAATTACATTTAATATCCCACTATAATTACATTTACCACCCAACTGTAATTATATTTAATACCCCACTGCATACATAAGTACCATTAATTTAATTTGATACCCTTCATTATTTTTTTTTATTTTTGTAATTATTCTTTTATATTATTATATTTGAATTAAAAGTGTTATACATGTCATATTTAATTTGTAAATTAATTTAATATATTTAATAACGTAATGATATTTATTGTAGATATGACATCAAAAGGAAAGAATATAGCTACTGAATCATCGCAGAAAAAAAAAAAGAACGTGATATTGGATGGAATTACGGCGAACGAATTGGGGATAATCGACAACATGTAATGTGTAATTTTTGCCATAAAAAAATGATGGGTGGCGGTGTGTCACGGTTAAAGCAACACTTGGCAGGCGGTTATAATAATGTGGAACAATGTGATAAGTGTCCTATTGAAATTGCGAAAGCTATGAGGGATTACTTGAATCGCAACAAGACTGAAAATGCAGAAGTGACTGGTGAACGGAGAAAAATGAGACAAAATTTAATTGGTGGATCGAGGCGGAGGAGTGGTATCGAAATTTATTCTTCCGATGAGAATTCAGATGATGATATGGATATAGAATATAGAGATGATATTGAGTATGCAAAACAACAATCTATTCGTGATATACATATGGCAGAGCAAGGCTTTAGAGGAGGAAGTTCTAGACCATCTATCCAAAAAAGTGGTATATCTAAGGGTTTAATGCGCTCACATAGTGTGAAGGAATCTTGGGATAAATTCTCAAGAAAATCACAAAAGTGGATGGGCAGGGAAAAGGATCTCACGATAGAAGAGATGGATCCTTCGATGTATCGGAATAGGGAAGTAAAGCAAGCCAAGCTAACTCATATGTGGAATCCGAAAAAGTGGGCAAAGTCGGCAAAACATGCTATTGCAAAGTATTTCATTTATGAGAATATTCCACCAAGCAAAGCTCAAGGTCATTTTTACCAATTGATGATTGATGAAATTGCTTTAGCTGGAGTGGGTGTGAAAGGCCCAACCCCATATGAGATTGGCGGACCATTGCTAGATAATGAGATAGATGAGCTGAAAGAGTACATTGACCAGTTCAAAAAGAAGTGGGAGATTTATGGAGTGACAATCATGTGTGATGGATGGACATCCACCACAAGATTATCTATCATTAACTTCTTGATATATTGTGATGGAAAAATTATTTTTCACAAGTCAATTGATAGTTCTGGTCATGACAAGGATGCTAATTATATTTTGGGTTTGATGGATGCTGTTGTTGAAGAGATTGGAGAGAAATATGTGGTTCAGATTATTACAGACAATGGCAGTGCGTACAAAAAAGCTGGTGAAATGTTGATAGAAAGAAGACCACACCTATATTGGACTCCTTGTGCTGCCCACTCTCTAGATTTGATTTTGCATGATTTTTCCAAGATTGAAACGGTTCAAAATGTACTAGAGCAAGCTAAAAGAGTGACAAATTTTATTTATAATCATAATAGAGTCTTGGATATAATGCGAACATTTTGTTCGGGGGAATTGATTCGGCCAGGGCAAACAAGATTTGCCACTAATTATATTGCCTTACAAAGTATGTTGGAGCAGAGAAATGGTTTGCAAAGGATGTTTACTTCAGAAGATTGGTCTAGGACTGCGGCAGCAAAGGATCCAGTTGGAAAGCGAGTTCAAGGGACAATTCTAAATCCTAAATTTTGGGAGACCGCAAAAAATGTGTTGAATATGCATACACCTATTGCAAAAGTTCTAAGAATGGTGGATGAGGAAAGAAAAGCAACAATTCCATATGTATATGAAGCAATGAAACGAGCAAGACAAGCTGTCAAAGATGCGGCTCCTAAATCGTGCAAAAAATATCTTGACATCATTGATGCTCGATGGAAAAAACAAATCATTCAACATATTCATATGGCAGGTAAACTTATTGTTTATCAATTTATATTTTTATTATTGATAAGTGTTATCATTTTGAATGTTATCATTTATAAGTGTTATCATTTTTTATATTGTGTAGCTTATTACTTGAACCCCACATACTATTATGAAGAAGATGTTGGTGTATTAGAAAATTTCTTGGGTTCGCTTCGGATCGTTGTGTCTAGACTAGAAACAAATCCAAACAAGGCTGCTGAAGCACTTGCAGAGGTAATACTTTAGTATTTCAATCTCAATTTACAAATATGCTGAATTAATATATAACATCAATATACCCATGATATTTAGGTAAAAATATTTCGGGAGGCTATGTATTGTTTTGCTGACCAAGCTGCAATTAGAGGAAGAACAAAAAGTGATCCAGGTAATTAAGTAGATTATTTACACTTTTATATTTTATTCTCATGATTTTCTATTTATATTTTTCTTTAAGGTTTTAATATGTTTCTTATTATTATGCAGCCGAATGGTGGTTTATGTATGGCACTGATGCTCCAAATTTGAGAAAGATTGCTATGAAAATATTATCGCAAACAGCTTCATCTAGTGGTTGTGAGAGAAACTGGAGTACATTTGCTCTCATTCACACTAAAGTGCGGAATAGACTCAATTATCAAAAATTAGAAAGGCTGGTGTTTGCACAATATAACATGAGGTTGAAGTTAAAACACCTTATGAAAGACAAAAAAGGGTATGAATTCAGACCTATAGACTTAACCACTGTTTTTGACGAAGATGAAGGTATTTCAGAGTAGTTAGATGATCCTGGTGATGCACTTTTAGATGAACTTGATGATGATGGGCAATCAACAAGACCAAACACTTTCCTATCGACGTGGGCAAATCGTTTTTCCGATGACGATAGAGGAATAGACCTAAGTCAAGGTGTTGTGCCACCACAAAAAACAAGATTCAAAATAAGTAGAGGAGGATCAAGTAAAGCAATGGATGATGAAGAATTTGACAGACTAATGAGAGGTCCACCAAGACGTAAGCAACCTATCACTGTCACTAGTAGTACTGATGATGATCATAATAGTGATGGTAGCAATGATGATGGCGGTGAAGATGATGATAAAGATAGTGGTGGTGGTGGTAGTGGAGAAGGTGACAGTGGTGGTGATAGCCATGGTGGTGATGGAGGTATGGGGAGCCAAAGTCCACATGGAATTGTATTCACTGTAGAGGAAGGATTTACACATGCTACACAAGATGAAGATCATGGCTCTCGACGAATGCTTCAATATGAACGACGCTCAAAATCAACTCGAGATTGTCAACGTGAGCGTACTCAAAATCCGATCACTCCACATGGTATGGGTGCTATTAGGCATGGAACTGATATGATTAATGATGGTTTTTCTACCATGAGTATAAGTGGAAGTGGAAGTGGAAGTGAACACCATAATTATGGTTCGTCGTCTTCATATGGTTATGGTTCTGGATATGGTATTCCCTCATATGATTATGGATCGGGGTATGACACACGAGGATACGAATATGGATCCTCAACATATGGTTATGGATCTGGCTATGACTCCCAGACATCCTCCTCATATAGACAAGATAAAGATTGGTCAGGGACTGGTGCATTCGTTCCCCAACAGATTGGATGTAGTGTTGCAGACTATCAGAGATTTGGAAGAGAATATAATTCATATTATCGTAATAATATGAGTTGGAGTAACTATTGTCATCATATTTATGTCACATATAGAGTTTCTCTAAGTAGCTACCCAGAGCCTACACCAATGTATGAGCCTGCTCGACACTCCACAGGGGGATGGATGTAGCCATGTAAGTATGTACTCATTAGCATTTCATGTGTATTATGAGATCTTAATATTATATAAAAATGTGTTTATTTGATAAAAATTTAAGTGTTTAAAACTAATTTCAGTGATTTTCGCCTCATGTCAAGTTTTTTTTTTCCTCCAATTTAAATTTATTCTTCTATAAATGGATGTTAAGTCAATAAATATGTTGAATTAATCAATTATTTAGCTTATCTTTATAGATATAGATTAATGGATTGTATTTGTGTTTCCACGCGTTTCCATATTTTTTCCGCGTTTCCATTGCATTTCCGAAACGTTTCCGAATCGTTTCGGAAATTTAGATGACCGAAACGGTACTTCGAAACGAAATTTCGATCCTTGATCACACAAATACCCATCCATTGAATCCCAGACCTCCATGGATTCATCCTCACTCATGGCATGCTTCCCACAAGGCTCCCCTACAATGCTACACAACATTAGGTTCTAAAAACAATAGCAATAATTAATATTCATACCTGTATAAAACACCAATATTTGGGGTCAAAATCTGAATCTTTTGCACCTGCAGTTGAACAAATCCAAATATCGGAACCAGCCTATGTTACCTGACTTGATCTAAAACAATACTTGAAAAATGATGCCAACATAACAAGACAACTGCAAGTTCAAAACCCATGTATGTGTTCTATAGTTAGAAGCACTAGAAACACTCATCTTGAATAGCCCTCAAAAATTTTGTTGTGATGAAAATCAGAACGAATGTCAATCAAGGAGCAAATACATAAAGAATTACACTAACGTCCCATGACAAGACAGAAAAGCATCATCAAAGACAAGTTTAAATTACAAATGATGTAACAATGCCAAAAAAAGAAACAAAGAATCACCATAACATTTGCTATATAGCAGAAAAAGTGACCTATACTTGTGGCCTGGAAACACTCACAGATGTTTCATCAACCAAGATAGATGGTGGCTTCTTCTCTGTTGCAATAACGACACCATTAGCAGCTGCAAAATCACCAGGTGAACATGTAACTAATAGAACTCAACTTAACAAAACAAAACCTTGTCACAACTCTTTGGTGTTGGCTACATGAATTCTATTCAGGATTATATGTAAATGATGGAAATAATAAGCAATGAACTTATAAAAGCAAGTGCAAAATGGTTTGAATACCCTCACTAAGGATATCAAATAAATTACTATAAATGTCAAGTGGTGCACCACTATTGGGTCATGACCGTCAGATCATTGAGTTCACTCTTTGTACACAATAAATCAATAGGCATTAACATACTTACAAAAATAAGTATCACCCAAATCATCATCACAAATTACAGTGATACAGCTTCTGGGTGGGACACCAACAGGTGATTTGAAGTAACAATACTTGGTAGTTCATATATGAGAAAGACACGTTGAACTATCACCTAATATTTCTTTATCAATAGGTAGCTTACATATTAAATTTCAGTAGATGTAACCGCTAATAAATCCACATAAAAATTGAATCATTTTGTTTGAATGCGTAAAAGAAATACAATGATTATGAGCTCGAAGTTACTCTTAAGACGTTATGAGCTCAAAATTACCCTTAATCCCTAAAGACGTTTGCCCTGATCCATCAGCTGTTAAGGCGTGTTCAATCTGAACAAGCGTCCCAGAAGAATTGTGTGAAAATGATGATATTCATTGGGAAAGGCATACTCACACATAGATAAAGTAAATTCAAAAGAGAATTGACTGTATAGTTTTGCCACAGAAAGTTAGAATGTGTACACGGACAATAAGTCCATACCTGAAAGTGGTAAGAGTGAAAGAGAACTGACTATCACCCATTCCGTAAATGAGACTGAAGTGAGATTCCTGCAGAATGAACCGTTTAAAATAATCATTGTCACTGATGAAAATCACTCTTTTCCCTTTACGAACACAGAGACATCAGATAATTCTATGCAGGCCAATGACTAAACAAAACATCTGATTTCGAATCCAAGAACTTCCAAGTAAGTTGCAAATAGAATGTAGAAAACTAATGCCACATAGGCCTACAGTTCAAGATCCTATCTCTTTCTAATTCCTCAGTCGGTGTTCTCGGCAACAAAACAAATTCTAACAAAAATTTCCAATGTTTTCAATGCAGAAACTAAAGCATTTACCTTGAGTATTTGAAGTGCTGATTAGGGCTTCCTCAGATGTTTTGTCCGACTTTTCAAGCAATAGCACAGGGATACACAGACAGGGGGAGCAATGGTGAAATGGTGGCTGGGTTTGGTTTTATATTTCAACACATTTACAACAATGTATAATCAGATTCACATCATATGTTTCATTTAGTCAAGTTTGTATCTGCCCATAGTGGGTCTACTCATTTATCCCCAAACTGCTCAGATTAAACACAAACCTACTAATTTTGTATCGGATTAGCTTGTCATGTGTAAAATTATAGGGCCTAATTGTTTACAATTTGACATCAGAGTTTTTTGGAAAATACAAGTACTTGAAATTATTAAAAAATAAATGACTGGAATTTGTTTTAATCACTTTGAGGTTGTAACTAGCTGGTATCCAGTCCAGCCTCCGAACAGAGAAATTTATGTCTGTTAGATCAATCAAAAAAAAAGTGTCTCCCATGATATTAAGAAAGTACTCATCATCAACACCCTCAAGTTGCAACTCTTTAACAAAGTTACAGTTACATATTGCCTAGCCAAAGCTGTCTCCTGACAGATTGGAGTGGTAGAAATGAAGTATGCCTCTTGTGATGACTAAGGTGCATATCGTTTGGTGAAATATGTATGACGTGTTTAATAAGAGTTTTGAATCTTCAATGGACAATGCATTTTAAAGTCATTACAAATACAGCCCAAGCGCTATAAATGGTAATGGTAAAGGGGTGGATTATGATGACCCAAGATCCAACAGGCCGATACTTCTGAGGTTTGGAATCAAGATGAATGAGGTGAGGGTGCCAAGTCCATGTACCTGTCTCCTGTGTAGGCCTATCCAAAGTGGACAAAATTGTACAATGCGGGTCCGGGGTGTTGCAACATACCACTCTGCGAAGTAAAGGAGACGTTCATCAAAGACCATTACATCATGAAGTTAATTGTTCGCTAACCCGAAATGAATTCACTTCATTTTTCCACTTAACCCAGCTGTAAGCGGGCTTTTTCTTTATGCTATTTGATTCCATTTCCACCCTCACATTCCGTACATCCTCCCATCTCCCAGTAGTTGCACAGACATTTGAATAAAGAACATAAGCGGAGTCATCATATGGATTTGATTGAAGAAGATGTTCAACAGCTTTCTTCCCCAATTCCAAATTTCCATGAATACTACATGCTGCTAATAAGCTCCGCCAAACAAAGTCATTTGGTGACACTGGCATCTCTTTAATAAAAGCTTCAGCCTCAGAAAGCCTCCCTGATCGTCCAAGAAGATCAACTATGCATACACAATGCTCTATACCAGCTGGGACACCAAATTCCAAAGTCATTGAGGAGAAGTATTGAAGACCCTCATCTACCAAACCCCCATGACTACATGCTGATAGAAGAGAGATGTATGTAACATGGTCAGGTTTCGACCCATGTTTTAGCATATCATGGAAAGTTTCTCTAGCTTTCTCGAAAGATCCATGTCTAGCAAAAGCTGATATCAGTATATTCCATGACAAATGTGGTCGAATGTTTGGTTCTGGAAGAATCTTTAGTACATCATTCATTTCCCCACATTTCCCATACATATCCATGATCGCATTTGTGACATAAAGATATGAGTGGAACCCAAGTTTGATAGCCAAACCATGAAGTTGTTGGCCCTCCTCCAAAATAGCCAAGTTCCCAGATGCAGCAAGGGCTGCAGAAAATGTGAACTGATCCCAATCTACTCCAACTACTTGCATCTCCAACAGAAGTTTGAAAGCCTCTTCCCCATGGCCATGATGAGCATTTGCTGCTATCATTGCATTCCATGTCACAGAGTTCTTGTGAACCAATCCACTGAAGATATAGTCACATGATTTAAGATCACCACACTTAGCATACATTGTAATAAGGGAATTCTTCACATATTCGTCTGATTCCATTCCGGTCAGAACTATATGTGCATGTAGGGGCATTCCGTGGGTCAACAAGTCATGTGGAGCAGAGCAAGCACCAAGAACATTTACCAAGGTAATGTAGTTCCCAGATTTGCCTCTCTCTCTCATTAACTTAAAATATTTCATGGCCTCATCTAGTTTTTCACTCTCAGCGTAACCACCAATGAGTGCATTCCAAGTAACCAAGTCTTGTTCAGGCATCTTTTGGAATGCCTGATAAGCATCCCATGTCATGCCGCACTTACCATACATGGTAACAATAGCATTTCCAACCACCAAGTTGCCATGTTGACCGGCTACGAATACAAGCGCATGGACAATCTTGCCTTCAACAATATAGTCAGGATGTGAGCATGCAGCCAATGCACTTGCAAAGGTCACATAATTTATTATTTTTCCCATCTGAAGCAGCTCAGCCAACAATTTTAAGGCATCTAAGCACTTCCCTTCCTCAGCATAGCCCGCCATCATGGAATTCCATGAGATCAAATCCTTCTCTGGCATCTCCTGGAAGAACTCTTCTGCATCTTTAGATCTTCCAGCCTCAGAATACATAGTAAGAAGAGTATTACAGACACAAACATTTGAATCCAGTCCCACTTTAACCACGAGACCATGAATCCCACTACCCCACTTTAGATTGTCAACAGAACCACAAACTGATAATAACGTTGAAAAAGTAGTTGAATCTATTTCATAATGAACACAACGCATCAAGTAAAAACACCTAAGTGATTCCTCGCAAAGCATATTGTGCGTTAATGCAGCAATCATCGAATTCCAAGATATTGTGTCATGTTCATTCATGTGATCAAAGACATAGCATGCTTCTTCCACGCTACTAAAACTACCAAACATTGATACAATAGAGTTTGCCACAGAAATGTTAGCCTCCAGTCCAGACTTAATAACATGTCCTAGAACTTGGTGACCCAAAAATTCATCCTCAATGGATCCACAAGCAGCAATGACTGTGGAGAATGTGTTTTGGTTACTACTGACTCCTTCACACCGCATTTGTAAATAAATATCTATTACTTCCATGGGATCCCCATTATTTGAATAACTAACCATCAAAGAAGTCCAAGTAACTACATTTCGTTGGGGCATCTCTCCAAAGAGAGTTTGAGCACTAGAAGCACAACCATATACACCATAGAAATGCAAAAGTGCAGTACCAACAAACACGTCGTACAACAAACCGTTTTGGAGAACCAACCCATGAATTTGAAGTCCTTCATAGACCATATCCATTGACCTATTACACGCCGTCAACAAACTCGCAATGACAAATCCATTTGGCTCAATGCCTAGGTCACGCATTTTTAGAAACAACCCAATTGCATTAGAATATAAACCCGCTCGAACAGACATCGATACCATTGTATTCCAAGAAGATCCATTTCTTTCAGGCATTTCATCAAACAAATATTGTGCACCTTCAATATTGCCAAATTTCGAGTACATGTTTATCAACGTATTTGTATGGAATGTTCCCAACTGGGTCGAACCCTTTATGCAAACTGCATGAACTGCTCTCCCAATAGCCTCGTTGGTGATCTCTGAGAAACCTTTTTGAAGAAAGCTTGAGATTTCGGGGTTTGGGTGGTTTAGAAGGCGTTGAATTCCATAGCTTGTTGGTTGTACTCCGGATGGAACTGTGAAAGGTTGGGGCCTGAAATGGTTGAGGAGCGAAAATAGTGATGACGGCGCAATGGATAATTTGACTGAGGGCGAAGTGATATAGATTCATGACGGCATACCTCTCAACACTGTGAAAGAGATGTACATCATCAAGATCGCAAAGAACATTTAACTTCCGGATTGACCCACTCCAAATCTTCAAGAAGTAGCAAATAGTGTCAGTCTCCTTCAATATGCTCTTCAACAATTTCATTAGTTTTCATGGCCGTCACCCATCAGATCACACTCTTCCACAACGACAGAGACAGAAATTCCTACGTTGGGAGCAAATCAAAATAATACCAATAGTAATGATTTGGCGGAAGCTTAATAACTTCCTGAAATTTACATGCAAAGCAGCAAAATCAAATGCAATTAACAAAAAAAAATTAAAACACTCTACTTGTTTTGGTTTGACCATGGCCGCCAAGTCGGTTGTTTTCAGTAAACTGAATTGTAGAATTATACAACACAATTGCTCTACAAACTACAAAATAGTTAAGGAGGTTTCCATCTTTTGTGTGACTCTTTGATCAATTTCGTAAGAAATTTTTTTCTCTGTATTCCATTTTCTACCAAGAGATGTTGGAGGGACCAAGTAATCAGCTAAACAAAGCTAAGTAACCAAATTCACTTTTATACATGTGTAGACTGAAAAATGTACATGAACCTTGGCCTGGCCATGATGTTGTTGCTTGTGTCACTGCTCCAAATTTAAGAATGATCTTCTTTACAATTAGTAGTTTCATAGCGACAATCATTCTTGTCTACTATATGGGAAAAATAGGTAGACAAATATGATGACATGTTAAAAAAGGAAAATAAAAGAAGAAAATGTTTGGCGTGCATAATCTATATAATAAAATTTAAAAGTTTTTACTATAAATCACAACAATATTTTTGTGCATTTTGATTCAACAGTTAATCTTGCATACTACATTTCTTTATTTTTTGATAAATTTGACATAAACAAATATTTATAAGTCGAGAGAATGTAATGCTATAATTTTGTCATTTTATATTGTTGAAAGCAAAGTTGGGGTTTATAGAGTGACAAAATGTTGGCTTATTTTTTACAAGAGAAGCACATAACAGATAAAATCATAGAAAGTAGAAACTAAATAATGCTGCATAACTTAAATAAAATTTTAAAAATTGTAACTCAAATGTGTATTATCTTTTAGATTAGTAGGTTCTATTAATTTTTTCAATGAAACCCACTCATCAATGATATATATTTGGAAAAATTATATCCAGATCTTTTGAGATTTGTCACTTAAGTATTTAGACCCTTGACATTTAAAATGTTATACACAGATCCCCTAAGAATTGTACGCACGTAACACATAAGACTCGTGTTATCAATATCCGTTAAAATATTCATTAGTAAATTACACCCAGCCCCCAAATGTTTGTATACATGCAATATTTACACTCTATAAGTTTAAAATATTATACTTAGATAAAAAATATTTCAATCAAAGATAGAATATCAAATATTTTAAATTTTACAGCTAAAACTCATGTTCTATTATGTCATTTATTGATATATAATAAAAAATAAAAATATATATTTTTTAAATCATGATTAATATACAATTATACTATCTATTGGAATAAAATTAAAAAAATAAATAAAGGGTCAAGTTGTAATAAATATAATATATATATATATATATATATATTATTATTATTTATTTTTTTAATTGGAGGTAGTTTGGTCATTTGAGAGATATGTTTAAAACTTACAAGTTTAAAATATTATATTTAGGTAAAAAAATATTCAAATCAAAGATAAAATATCAAATATTTTAAATTTTACAACTAAAATTCATGTTATATTATGTCATTTATTGATATAAAATTAAAAATAAAAATTTAATTTTTTCTTAAAAACTATAATTAATATCCAATTATACCTTCTATTATAATAAACTAAAAAATATAAACAAGTGGTCAAACTTTAATGGTTTTCTATCTTTAATTGGGGTTGTTTGGACATTTAATATAAAGTATAATTATATATTAATTACGATTTAAAAATTAAATTAAATTTTTATTTTTGATTTGATTTGATTTTATAATATAAAACAGGACAAGCTTTAATAGCCCATCCAATGGTCTCAAATAAACTTATCCAGCATCTACTAATATCCCTTTTAAAATCATTCACATTATACCATACATTCATATATGGGTTACCCCTAATAAATAACATAATAGAATATGAATTTTAGTTATAAAATTTTAAATATTTGATAGTCTATCTTTAATTAAGTATTTTTAATTTAAGTATAACATTTTAAATTTAAAAAGTCTACATATTACAAGCTTATAAACTTCAAGAAATCTGAATATAATTTACTAACGAATATTTTAAAGACATTAACAGTAAGAGTCAAAAACCTCAGGGGAGTTTTATGTAATATTTGAAATGTCAGGAATTTAATGTAATTCTTCATATATATTTATATATATATATTTTGGTTATACTTTTTAGGTTTCGTGCATCAATTTTTTTTTTATGATATCGGTGGGAGGGGCTACTGTAATCAGTTCAACCAGCGACAATACCCCATTCCACTTTCTTGTTATTTTATGTTCTGTTTGGCATTTGGATTCTCTACCCGAAGAAGTGTGAACGGATAACAGCTACTCCATAATTGTGTCGTTTCTTATTGGTCTCTCATGTTCTCCGAGTCAAATGGCATCAGCCCTTCTCTCCAGAACTCTCTTTGCCCATCGCTTTGTTCAATCTTCAATATCTCTCGTACACAGGCCCCATATCTTCACATCATTGTTTAATGTAAGTTTCATCCCTTTCTCTCTAACATTCTGTCGTTAATCCAGTTGGTTATTGATATGATTAGTATAAAGTCCGGTAATTCGCATTTGGGTCTTGATTATAACTAGGTAATTACCAGTTCTTCTTTGGTGCTATTTGGGTATTTCATTTTTCTTATTCATGACTTGATCCGTCTAGTTTCGAGAATAGGATTTCGAGTTGAGTGGTTAGTTTTGCATTAAGAAATATGGTTGCTGGCAGTAGAGTGATAAATATTTTACCACTTTTTTGGGTAACACATGTAGTAAAAGTACTCACAAATGTTGTAAATTTTGGTATGGTGCCGAAAATTTGTTTTTCAGTACCATAATCAAGTCCGGAGTAAAAAGATTGCTGGATTTTCATGTGGTGGGATATTGGTTTTCAACAACTTGAGGGTAGGAGCGAATTTAGACAATATTTTTTACCTAGGCAAATTGGTATGAAAGTAATTGATGATTTTCCCGTGTACCTTGTAGAGGCTGAGGTCTGAATTTTCCACCTTACGCTAAAATGATCTTCATCCTTTTAAGCTGTATGCCAAGATTCAACAGTGAAAGTGAAATGTGGAATTTCAATTTTACCTTTTCAGACTAAATATGATTTTAAGAAATCATTCTCATTTAGCCGACCAAATGTTTGCAATATTGCAGCAAATTGAGTGGGGAAGTTAACTTGGTACCCTAAGTCTGGTTATCTGGTTATGTAGTTTCAGAAGGTCTTTGCTTTTGAATACATATTGTGCCATTTGTATCATTGCTAGATTATTGTGTTATTGCAGTCAAAAGCTCATACTGTTCGTTCTACATTTCGCAGAAGAGACCATTTCACTTGCAGGCTGCTCCCACTCATTTGTCATATAAATTTTCCAGTTTTTTTTCTTGTAATATCGCTACACCAATAATTGGGTCACAAACTTCTTTCTCAACACTGTCCATGACGACTAATGAACCTGTTGTTTCGGTTGATTGGCTACACGCAAACCTCCGAGTGCCTGACATGAAGGTAAGCACTTGAGCTTGCCATTGTTATACTATTTTGTGGGTTTGTTTATGGTCGGCTGGGTTTTTTTTTTTTTCCAATGTGGTATAAAAGCATTGAAAGTTTTTGATGTGATTTGTATTATGATGAAATTATTTAGCTAGACAATCTAATTTGACTCTAATTCCTCCAAGACATGGTTGTTAACTGATTGTACAAACTAAATGAATTCGTAGAATGTTCACTTGTTCCATGGAGTGGACTGCTAAAGTGTCCCACGGCAGCTTAATGATGATCAGATGTATAGGAGTCCAATTGAACATGCTGAGTACTGTTTGGCACTTGAGATCAATGTAGTTGAGTGCAGCCAAAGTTCACTATGGGCTTAAGCTCAACTGAGTTTTAGCTTGTCTTGTTCGTGATCAATTCATCTGTGTTTGATAGGAGTCCGACCTTGAGTTGTTACTCTTATGCTATTTTATGTTCTGGACAAAATTATAATGATAACAAAAACGAGATGGAAGATGTGTGGTGGGAACAAGTACAAAATAAATTCCCTTAATCTGTCCAATTATTACATAGGTTGGATCATTCTTGGAAGTCTCATGTTTTGTTCTGGTCCAAGTCCAATTTCTGCTGTTATAAGCAAAATGAGAATCTGAAAGTTTACCCTGCTGATTTGCCTATGACCACTGTTTTTTTTTTCTTGTGGGAGTTTGATTTCAATTTAAGGTTCCTTGGAAAATTTTTATTGACCCTCAATACATCTACTGTAGATTATTTTAGTTTTTACACAATGGTTTTTTTTTTTTAATATGTCTCATTATTTTACCAATGCAGGTGTTGGATGCATCCTGGTACATGCCAGATGAACAGAGAAATCCAATTCAGGAGTATCAGGTGTTGATTATGAATTTAACTCTTGAACAATTTTTCATTTTTTATAGTTATGAAACACCGCAGCTTGATGCTTACAGTGTCAGTCCAAATTTTGGCCATTTGTGCTACTTGGTAGTTATTTGAAAAAGGAATTCCGTAAAATCTTATGTTGCACCACTTTTTTCAGGTTGATTTTAATTTGTATTTGTTATGCTATTTGTTCATTGTATTTGTTTTTGTTTTTTTTTGGGGGGGTGTGTTTGAACAGGTTGCCCACATTCCTGGTGCACTTTTCTTTGACATAGATGGGATATCAGATCGAACTACTAATGTAAGTTGTCTTCTTCTAGTGCTAATATGCATGTGGTTTTTTATTAGTATATTTAGTCTCAGATTTGCTTACCTTTTTGCAATAATTCCCTATCAAACAAGATTCTGTCTGTAAAACCTTAGTAGTGTTCTCTGAGTGTCAATATGTTGCTTCTTTTATACTAACTAGTGCATTAGATAACTTAAAATTGAGACACTAATGTTGATCCTTTCTATCTGATCATCTAAAATGATGTCTATCAGCTACCACACATGTTGCCGTCAGAAGAAGCTTTTGCTGCTGCTGTTTCTGCTCTTGGTATTGAGAATAAAGATGGAGTTGTTGTTTACGATGGAAAGGGAATTTTCAGTGCAGCTCGTGTTTGGTGGTCAGTTGTGGGTTTGACTTTTAAAGATAAAAAAATTTAATGGCGGTAACATCCAAGTTGTTGACAAATTTTATCAATTGGATAAACAGGATGTTCCGAGTTTTCGGCCATGACAGAGTCTGGGTTTTGGATGGAGGCCTGCCAAGATGGCGTTCTTCAGGATTCGATGTTGAATCTAGTGCTTCTGGTGATGCAATTTTGAAAGCTAGTGCGGCCAGCGAGGCAATAGAGAAAGTGTATCAGGGACAGACAGTATGTACATATTTATCCGCCTAATTGCTGTTTTCCCTGTGAAGGCTTCCTCCATTCGGATGGAAAACTCAAGTTGTCAATAGGAGTGTTTTGATTTCTTTTTCCATATATGTTCCATCTATGTCTTAGTATGCTCTCTTCAGCATAAAGTGCATACCTAAATTTGGCAATATGTCTATCCTATTGCTTGAACTCACCACTGTGGTCGTATTATGTGTAACACTGTGGTAAGGATGTTTGAAAGAGAGAGCCACTGGTCTACCAAAAGAGTGTCCTTCCTTCCCCCTCTTTTTTTTTTCCTTTCAAACTTTCCTTTGAAGCTACCTGTCCCTTGCCTTCTGTACACAGTGTACTTCTTTAGTTGACTTTAATATGTTTCGATTGCTTTTATGCTACATTTTTTTGCCAGAAATTTAGTCGAAGCATTTCTGTAAATACAGGTTGGGCCAATTACCTTCCAAACCAAGTTTCAGGCACATCTTATCTGGACAATTGAACAGGTTTGTTTCCTTGTTGTTGGTGACTTTATAAAATTGCCTTGCCGACGAGGGTTTAGACTTGTATATGCTGTGTTTGACTCAGACTAGTTTACATATAGTCTGGTGGTGTTGGTAATAGTATGAACTGTGATCATTGACCCATTATCGTAGATTTATCGAATCTTTAATATATTCTGCGAACCTTAAAAGTCAGAGGTGCCTTCCTTGCATTGATGCCAAACTTAAGTATAGTTATACAAAATTCATTGTAATGATTTGATGTAAGAGTAGGGCACATTAAACCGCATCGAAATAGATGGCACCGTTATCAACATGTCATACTTCCAAGCATACGAGCAATATATGGAGTTATTTTGCGTAGTGAATGAGCCTTGTACTCTTAGTTGTTTGTACTTTGTAGTCAACTCACTAAAATAACATACTGGGGAAATTGAGCCAAGTTCAAGATGTTGTATGGTTGGTTCCCAACGTATGCCACCCTTGCATAGAAATAGTTCTACCTTTATTTTCTTCAATTATGCTAAAAAAACAATGTACGATTCGGACTTCTTTGACAAATTTTTTTTTTTACATAGATGCTAGCATTTGAGCGAGCATCTATTGATTAAATTTTTTACATTTCGTTTGATGCCAATCTCTTCCTTTTATTCAAGCTGTGCTTTTGCTATTTATTTCAGGTTAAGAAGAACATTGAGGACAAAACACATCAACACATAGATGCCCGCTCAAATGCTAGGTAATTTTGATTTGTCTTGATTTGTTGTATCAATGCTTGACTTACCCCCGATCAATTTATTGCCCTCATTATTTAGCATGGACCTTCAGTACTTAATTAGAATTTTTCTTCAACATCTTAAGTCAACAGCATCACATATAGCTCGCAAGCAAGGATCAGAATTTTGTATTGCTGAGTGATATTAGTAACCTACCATTGTGGAGGATGGAAATATCAAAGAATATAAACCCATGCCTCAAACAAATCCTTCCATGCTTCTCCACTTTTGCTCTCTTGAATTTATATTACCTGCAGTTCTGTATTTGGCAGCAAGGAGTGATAAGGTATTTGTCACTTCTTTCGTCAAAAAAAATGTCTACAGGCAGTTGCATGATAGTACAAAAGTTTTCTTGTTCCACTTCAGGAAGTAATAGTTTTACTGGCAACCAGATGGTGCTAACATGGAGTGTGCATATGGAAATTTTAAAGCTAACTGAACAGAACTGTAGTCCTGATTCCAACTCCATTTTGGTTGTCAAATGACTCAAATCAAATTATGGAATAATTTGGTGTTATTTGAATGCACTTGTGCAACCTGTTAACCGTTTAGTGATTAGCCGCATTGATGAATAAACAAGGCAATGGATGTCTTCCTTTCCCAGTAGCATTACAGTGACCCTTATACAATAAAAAGGAAATTCATTTCAAATGCCAAAAATGAATTCATGTTCCACATTTCTTTAAACAAGACATGACAATCATATTCGCATGACAATCTCATCCATTATCTAGGTCATAGACCTGATATGCTTGGCATGTTGACATGCAATATCTGCACATATGAATTCTAAGATTTTAGTTAGCACATTGGAAATCAAGAGGTTCAATTCAAATTCAATGGTGTGAACCATGCCCCAGCATGGCAGCACCCAGTTCCTCTGCATGCCCCATTTCAATTAATGGATGAAGATGGTAGTTGCACTTGCTTTTGAATAATCAAAGATCAACGGTACGGTTTGAGTGAGTTATAACAACATAGTTATCTTCGGCATGATATGCGAATAAACTAATAGCTGAAGATTATGACACCATATTGTTGATATTATGAGTCTTTGTTAAATTGATAAGTTTTTACCCTCGGTGTGTATAAATAAAGGCCAGATATAATTGAAATTTTACACCGATTCATCTTTAGCTGGTTTAAGATCTGGAACTCTTGTTTACTTCAGTTGGAAAGACTTTGCATTTGACAAGAAGATGAACCCCCTTGTTCATGATTCTCATTCTTTGATTTGGTGGAGACAATCTTTTACAGGTTTGATGGGGCTGCACCAGAGCCTCGGAAAGGATTAAGAAGTGGCCATGTACCAGGAAGCAAGTGCATTCCTTTCCCCCAGGTAATACTTGTTATTTTCTTGAGAATTAGGGGCAAATTCCTCTATATCTCAATACTTAGGATCTGTTAGTTTTACTTGAAAAAATAATATCAAAATGAATTGCAAATCAATTATTTCCATATTTTGGTGTATCATGGGATTTTATTATGCTGGTGGACCACTCTTTTGTCTTCGATGAAGGATTGATTAAATTTCAAGGAAGTGAATTATTTAGCAGAAAGGAAGAGAACAAAATCTGTTTATATTGGCAAGAAAGAAATGAAAGAACAACGTAGTCTTGTTATAATTGAAGGAGAATGGTTTTAAGCATGGATGCAATCAGTAGATGCTTTAAATGAAACGGAAAAGGAAAATAAAACTACTTTCACCATTTTCTTTTATTTTTATATTGTTTGTGATTTAGAAGCATTTGAACTGTTTTAACCAACCAGTAATACTCATCCAGGATACCAGATTTTGCACCTTTTAGAAATGAATTCATACGAGACACTGCCTTTTTAGTTATTATTGTCTCATGATCGCTATGCTAGAAATTTGTAAGTTTGTATAAATTTAAATACATCCAGATTCGGCTTTATGGCGTTTTTGGTGATTTTTTGCAGATGTTGGATGGCTCACAGGCACTCTTATCGGCAGATGAGCTCAAGAAAAGATTTGATCAGGAAGGTAAGGACTTGTACACATGTCAGCATGCATGCATGTAGCATGCTTGTTTCACTTTTGCACTGCCAAAATGTTTTTTTTGCTTTTGCTTTGAGGTAGTCTGGTTGGTATATTTCCCCATTGCAGGACAAGTTACTCTTGTAACGTAAATGTTTGCTGGTGTTTACGACATTGTTCTAGCATAGCCCTGCCATAGTCATGTTCACACAAGTGTTTGTGATTCTTGTCAACTAGTACCTGATTGACGGCACATTTTGCGTAAGAAGTGTAACATATCCCGGGGTTGTGTCAACGGTATATGGATACACAAAACCTTGCATGAATTATGCAGGAGTCAGGACGAATTGGATATCTGATGGACCAAATTGAAAGAGAGCTTGTAGGTTTCTGCTTTTAAGGAATGGGAAGGTGATGCTGATATCTGCGGTTGAAATTGGCAAATAGTTGGTTTCAATTTTCGAATATGATTATAGACAGAAATTGATGTTCGAGATTGCAAGATATTCTGGACAGTGGGTAAATTCGGTATTTGGGCATTTATTTGAGGGCCCAAAAGGCAGGGGAAAGGCTTAGGGATGATGGTAGCTTGTTGGAGAAGAATTTAGGACCTGCAGTACAGGTTGTTTAGGGGCTGTGAACTGTAAAGTGGGAAAAAGCATGCCTTCAGGAGATGAAGAAGAGAAGCATCACCCTCATAAGCAATCAGCGACATTCGCACAACTTGATTAATCAAAATTGTCATATTTCATTCACTGCCATTACAAGGCTACTCCAAGGGCTTTATTAGACTCCAGACTTTAGATTTCAAATTGAGTTGTAGATGCTTTTCCACTAATTGGACTTGGGCTTTACTAGACTCCACATTCATCACACTTGACCCAGAAGTACATGAGCTAGCACATGAACAAAGCCCAATATAGCAGCCAGCCCAAACACAAAATTACCCTTGACTTCTTATAAATTTTCTCTCAGTTAGGTGAGTCAGTATAATTAAACCAAGAAAGGCTGTTAAACTTTCATGGGGCATTCCAAAGCAGAGGTGTGCTAGTGACGCGTGTATGGAAAGAAACACAGAATAACATATATAATAGCAGATACCTTTCCTAGGATGGGGGACTATGCGTCTGTAAAGAAAAAAACCACCCTCCTAGAAAGCAAAGGCATTAGATTCAGAAAGAGAAAAGCAACTACAAAACATGCCCAGCATATCAGTATATGAGAGCTGTCAATCTTCAAACATGGGAGAGTGGTCAGCAAGCAATGTGTAAGGGTCAAGGGTCAAGAATAGAAGTTTTTTCTTGCTAAGTAGCCTTGGATAGGAGGTACATTGTATCGAATACAGTTTTCCATTATCCTTTAGAACTCACAAACCATTTACACATTGATTTGTATGCGATCTAGTATTCCATTCCCTCCAAATGATATAAAAAGCAGCATTGAACTGTAACTTTCCAAACCAGGTATGCATACTCCTACCTTTGAGAGTTGTAGCCAACCAATCAGGAAGATCTTACAACTGGAGAGCTGGCACTTGGGTATTCAGTTTTGGTTGGATCTACAAGGAAATTCTTCTGGTGGAGGACCATTAAAAAAATAAATGCTGGTGGTTTTCAACAGGCTCTCTACAAATCACACAGCTCATTCTTTGGATGATTAATGATGCCAGAAAATAGTATTATGTTGAGTAGCAAGTTTTCTAAAACTTTATAAAACTTAAATATAACAATACTCAAACCATATTAACTAAAAATTACATGAACTAATAAGTAATCCTACCCAAAAACTGGAGTGCACAAGTTTCAATGTGTCATAAGAAATTCCCAAACTACTATTTTCTTGTTCTTCAGCTTTGCACAATGAATGAAAACAAATATTTTGAAGAATTTTTTAACTATGTGAAAAACCTGGAACAGTGATGATTCTAGGTGACAGAAAAGCACAAAAAGAAAGCGATAGAGCATCTCCAATCCTTACCCTTACCTTTTTTTAAACCCAAATTTAAATACCCGTATCAAATGAAGGGAGTCTCTTTTTTTTACGGAGACTTAAATCCATACCCAAAACTTTAATGGTGAGATTTCACTATCATTTAAAAATCCAATGGTTATATTTTACCCTAATTTAAATTTGGTTTCTCTTCCTTTAAATTTGAGTTTCTCCATTGGAGAGGTATATACCAAATCAATCTTTTTACTCTTTGTTTTACTCAAATTTGGATAAAGGTTTCCATTGGAGATGGTTTTGTAGAAAGTAAAATAAAACAAATCTATTAACTGTTGCTCTAATGTAATTGTATCAATGCCCTCAATAAAATTTCATTAAATGCTGTGAGACATTGTTTCATTGTCTTTGTTGATGCTTTCACCCCTACTTTAAGGTATATGGTTGCTTTGAATTTTAATCTCGGCCTTTGAATCCTATCTATGTGAAGAAAACAATCAAAGAAAAGTTGATAAAGCTTAGGACTGAAGAATACACAGCATCTGCTATCTGATCTTGATTCGGGATTCAAGAACATATTTCAGGATATTAATATTTTGCAATTTATTTCATTTACTGTGGCTTACTATTTTGTTTCCTTCTTAGTCACATGTTGCTGGTCAGTGGAATTTGATTACCCAACTGCTTAATCTCTGCAGGCATCTCTTTGGACAGCCCTATTTTAACATCATGTGGCACTGGTGTAACTGCTTGCATCCTTGCATTGGTGATTCGCTCTCTCTCTCTCTCTCTCTACATTTTTTCATTAATATGATTACCCAACTCCCTTCTCTTTGTTGGCCAAAGAAACTAACATAGAAACAAAAATCAGAGGGGAAAGAAAGAGTAAAATGAAAAGCAAAGAGAAATAACGTAGAGGAGAGGAGAGGAGAGGAGAGGAGGGAGGAGGGTGGAGGGAGGGGTGGGGGTGGAGAGGGTTGACAGAACATTGCCTGCTGAAGTGATTTACTGCTATTCCTGCTGAACATGCATATCTCTTAACACTTGATGCCTAATGTTTTGATGCGTTGAAGAGATGATGTTAATTGTTCAAATGGTGTGTTTATTAGCTTATTTTGCTTGTGAACAGCCATGAAGCTTCTTTTTTTTTTGACAATTCAAAAATTATCCTTACTAAAATGGAACAAAACTAAAATCGTCTTCATCTTTTCAGGGTCTCCATCGACTTGGGATGACTGATGTTCCGGTATATGACGGGTCATGGACAGAATGGGCAGCACAATTGGACGCATCCGTCTCAACTTCTGAAGTGATGCAAAAGTAAACTGAAAATTGGCCACTAGTGGCCAGAGATTGTGACTAAGAGATTACATCTTCCACCGACGAACTAAGTTTCTGTAGTCTTTTATTTTTTGTGATTTGCTGAGTGTTGTGTGAACTGCACATCATGAGCCTTAAAACCGAAAAAATAATGGTAATCGTTATTTTGTTTTTTGTTCTTTTCTTTTATTTTTGGATGAAATTTGGCATATTCTCTTGAGATAGATAGAGAAACATGGATGCCTTCAGCCCGACCTGGTAGTTTATGGTGGAGCATCTATAGTCTACAGCCGTAAAATTAGATGTAATGCATGGGTTTCAGTGGTATAGAGACGTATAGGAGTGATTAAGCATTATAAATTTTCTCCCATCTGTGTTTGAAAAGGTAAAGTTACGGGTGGTGGTGTCGGATTTGTTGGGTGGGAGGTCATGTTTTGTTAGGCTGCCAAACCTGCCAGCAATAGATGGTCATCCAAAAAAAAAAGGGAGATTTGGTGAGAGGTACATCACTTTTAAGGAGAGAGGTTCAATATGAACACATTTAAGACGAAAAGTTCATAAATACGTAATTGATAAATATATTCTTAATAAAAGAGGTTATCTAAAATTTTCACTCACTAGCACTCTCATCGATACTGCACTCGATGACAGGGAAATATAAATGAAAAAAAATTTAGTGTAGAACAGAAAGAATAGGCATGGCCCCCAAAAGGGGATATTAATGCCTATGGAGTGGGAGCTTAGCATAACAAGTTGTTGAAGACACTGATATTTTCGGATTTAAGACTACTACCGAATACACAAAATCGTTTTAAAGTTCAGACTAGATCGGCCATTCAACTTAGCTCTAGTGTCGGGAAGCACTTGAAATGTTTATATAAACTAATTCTGGGGGATAAAGAAGATATGGAGGATCGCGTGGCCTAATGGATAAGGCGCTCGCCTCCGGAGCGGGAGATTGTGGGTTCGAGTCCCATCGCGATCGCATTTCTAACCATCCACTATGTTGTTTTGATGTAGCTATACAAGTCCCTTCTTCTGTTTTACTCCGCCTCCTGTCTGCGGTGCGGGCCCATCTTATTTATGTTTTGAGGAATATTACTGATTAAATTTGGTGTCCAAATGACATGACAGTTGATTATTTAAAATTCTTATTGGGACCTAAATGACATGACACTAATCATAGAAGCTCAAATCAACTGTCATGTCATTTGAACTCTAAATTTGATCAATCTAATGTTTTTGCCCACCTTTTTTTGCTTGAATGCCCCCTTCACAGTTCCATTACCATTTTTCTCAACAAAAAAAAAAAAAAAAACTGTATTTAACAAGTCATTGACCCTTTCTTTCCAGCAAGAAAGCAAAAGGAAGAGTTATTTAATGAATATTTTCCCGGGTTAAGCAGAAATGAAGTGGTCCTGCTCTTTAATATAAAGAAAAGCAAGTTTGTCCACTTGTTTCATATTTCCTCCGTTCCGTTCTTAAATATATGTCGTTTAAGTTTTTGCACAGAAATTAAAAAAACTATTAAATAGCTCTAATATGAGTAAAAAATAATTACACAAGACTAAAATACACTTATTCAATATGTATTAGAAAAGAAAGGAATACAAAAGACACTTAACCTCCACCTAATCTAATACATTAAAAAATTAAGGATAAATTTAGAAGAAAAAATATTAATTATACTTTGGTTTCATAAAACGACAGATATTATGGAACAAAAAAAATTATATAAAACGACATATATTTAAGAACGAAAAAAATAATTTTTAGGAAAGAGTTGTTACGGTAAGCAAATTTTTAGCATGATCAACCTAGTACAGGTACAGGTTTCCTTTATTGGTCTAACATTAATGGACCCACTTCAATATACAAGTGAAAAGTGTAATTGCACTAGTAGTGACGCAATCAGGGGTATGAATTACAGAATATCAAGAATTCAAAGTATTACATATGGGAGAAACCAATTCATCCTTTTCTTTTGAGTAACAAAACAAGTACTGGGGCCAATGGCCGATTTAACATTTCAAGCTTGCAGCACATCCAATTTCCAACAGGTAATCCAGAAGCGAAAGCTTGGACTGCCTCAAACTCCTCCCTGTATAAGCACATGATGAATCATTCAACATCCACCAGTTAACAAAAACCAACTAAAAACTGATATAGAGTAAACAATATTGCGTAGAAGTGCTACCTTCCACCAGGGTGCCCCACATACACCACTATGCTGATGAGCCCTCCAGGTGCTAGTATTCTCTTTGCAGCGTCCAATGCTAGTAGGGTCGTTTTCGAGCCAGTCATTATCTTTTTGTTACCTCCTGGAAGGTAACCTAAGTTGAATGCAACTAACCTGAGTTTCACGAAGAGAAAAGTAAGGGGGAGGGGTTTAAATATAAGACAATGTTCAAGTGGCATGATTTCGAAAATAATGACTCAAAACCAGAATAGGTATGCTGAATATTTAGCATCAAATAGTGCATACCTCACTGTGACGCCCTTTGGAACAATTTCCTCCATTTTACTGTGACACATGCTGTATAGCTCAACAAGTTCTTTCTGCACAGATATAACATATTAATTCATGAATTCATGATTTGAATCCAAAATTTGGCATGGCCATAAACAGCTGAACTAAACAGTGCACATATATTTCTGGTGAATACTAGGACTCCTTCAAAATTATTGTAACACATGCAGCAAAATTGTTCATTCATTTAACATATAATTCATTTGTGTCAAGGATTCATCAGATAGAGGTTTAATTTTCACTTTTCTTCACAGGGGAGTCAAGGCCCCTAACTAATCAATGTACAGGTTAGGCAAGAGTAATTCCACTGAACATTTCTCTGAGCACAAGGATTGCATCCCTGGTTTTCAAAACCTAAGAAGAAGGATTCACTGATAAAGAGCAAGCAGCTATAAACAACATGTAAATTATAAGTTTATTAAAAATATTTGAAGACTTTTGAGCTATATGGACACCTAAAAGACTTGCAATAATGTAGAAGATGTGCAATCTGGAACTCAAACTTGCATTCTTGCTATGCACTCCATTTGCTTACTTTATGGTGCAATTATATTCTAATCAATTCAGAATCAAGTACACTTCAAACAAAAGTTCGATATGCATACTGTGTCATTGCCAAGAAAAGATTATAACTAATTGTGTGCATACTTGGTGGAAAAAACATTTACATAGCCATGAGTTGCCAATGTGAATTCATTCCAGACCCAGATTTAAGGGAAGCCTTCCTCATGCAGTTAAATAACTGAAAGATGCACAAAAGTAGCACCTCATCTGAATTGACTGATTGATCTAACAAAGATGAAGTGCTTTCTATAGCAACTTTTTGAACATCCATTCCATAAACACGACCTCTCTTTGATTGATCAGCAACCATTTTGAGCATTGCCAAGGTGTCGTACCCATTTCCACAAGTGGCATCAACAACCGCATCCCCTTTCTGGACAACATGTTTCCACACCCTGTTAAACCAAATAAACACATAAAAAAAGGCATCATTTTAAGTGATACTTTGAACTACTTTTATACAAAATATGACTACAGACCTGTTTTAAAGATTAGTAAAATTGATTAATTGAGCAATTATAGCAACAAAAAATTTTCCTAAAGGAGGCAGAGGCTCACAAGTCACAACCTTAGGGCATAAATTGTATTGCCAAGAGCCCCAAAGAAGGCTTCAAAAATTTGTTAGTATAGTTGTACGAAGAGCAATCAAAATCCAAGTAACATAGCATTTGTAAATTCATTTTTCAAATCCGGATGTTGGGCTTATCAGTAATGCAAGCTGTGCTGCACTACCAATTCTCATGACAACGAGTCAAGTTGATTAATATGGGAGCTTTACTGTTCAATTAACTGCACCAATAGTGAGCTAACACAAAGCCATTGAAATCATTGGAATAAAACAAGAAGATTGAAAGAGCATGAAAGCAAGGTGAAAAAGATGATTCATATTTTTTCACAATAACTAATACATGCATGCCCATGGTCCATATAACCAAGATTTGAACCCTACACGTCTATTTTGCCAGCAGCGGGAGATACCACTCAAGTTAACAACAGATGATCCCTGGGTAACTTTTTCAACTTTGCTAAAATAGAGTTTTAAAAAGGTGGTAGACATATTAATGCAGTCAAGAAGAGTGAAAAAAAAAAAAAAAACAAACGACTGGCAAATTTCTAAACAAAACATCACCAAAATTGATGAAACAAGACAATGTGTTCCAAACTTTCCTTGTGTAGGCTTTTAATTTCGTAGTTCATGCAAGCTCATAGATGCAAACTAACAAACTTAAAACTCTACCACCAAAATTCATGAAACAAGACAATGTGTTCCAATCTTTCCTTTTGTATAATTTCTTAGTTCATACAAGCTCATAGATACGAACTAACAAACTTAAAACTCTACTAGATTTAGCATGTGCTTTTGGTAATATCGGTGTTTGCTTATTGGATTTTCCTCATCATTGATCAATTATATCAATTTTCAGATACCAAAAGTGAAAGAAAAAAAAAAGGATTACACTTCATAGGACAAAGTGATGAAAGCACTCAAAAAAAGGGTTAATAAGTACCTACGAGTGAGCAACTTCGGTAGCCTTTTTCTTGCCAAACATATATCCCATCACAACATCATCCAACCCTGAATTGCAGTATCACCAACAAGGATAAAAATCGACTTCAAAGTATGTATTGCCCCATGTTCTAATATTCTGTTCGTGTATATATATAGTAGGAGCGGTGTATTTTTGCATCCATTAGGTGCGAAGGCTGCGAAAGAAAGAGAGAAGGGAAGAACCTGAAAGAGGAGAGTCCTCCTGGGCAACCCAAGTGGAAGAAAGATTTGCAGCAATGTCGTTTTGCTCAATTGACTTGGCAGACATAGAAAGATTTCTAAATCTAGGTTTGGTGTGTGGTAATATTGATGACGACGGCGAGAAAAAGGTCCTTCGAAATTTGACGGATTTCAGAGTGAACAACAAATACAAATTTGGATACAATCGGAGCGCCACCATAATTTACCAGCACCACTCCCACTCACCAAACAGTCTTGGATTACCGAACTTGAAGTGGCTAAAAATGAGAAAGACAACCCAACACACCCTTATGTTCTTCAACGCTACCCCCCCTTTCCTTCCTTCTCGAAACGCCGTCGTATTGTAGCGGCTTTTCCTTCTGTTTTTTATCAAGTCTCCCTACACTCAGACGCGCTTGTACAATTCAAATTTCTACGTACATTTATAATTTTATTATTTATAGGTAATGACATAACCATTACATTCAATATTTACTCATCCTATACATTTCCCCATATTACAGAACTCTTCTCTTTTGTTGCCAAAAATGAAAACTATGAAGTCTTTATGAGCACTCGTGATGAAAGAAACCATAGCAAATCGATGGACAACCAGACAGTTTGTCCTTCCAGAAACCCATTGTGGCACATTTCAAAGTCGTTTCAAATTTGGTGCTGATTTCACAGGGGAAGAAAAATCAGCAACATGGTGCATTTCATGTGAAAAGTCAAAAGATATCCTACTGAGACACAACTTCAATCAACTTTAACAAAACTTTGTCAAAACCAACCTGCATGGAAGGACCTTTAACAATTACTATGCAGAAAAGAGAACTTTAATCTTTGGCAATGCATATTTTAGTCATGCCCACAGGAATACTTATGCAAGCTTCGTCTACAACTCTACAAGTTCAGCTCTATAATGCTTCAAATCCGCTAGGGTTAAAACCCAGACTTATAAAAAAGCTAAAGACATGCGGAGAAGGACAAAAAGGGATTGAACTCCGCTCAAGCATCATCAAGGGAAAGAACTCCAGGAAGTTGCTTCCCCTCAAGAAGCTCCAAGCTGGCACCGCCTCCAGTAGAGATATGGCTCATCTTGTCTGCAAGCCCAACCTTTTCAACAGCTGCTACAGAGTCGCCTCCCCCAATAATTGTTGTCACTCCCTTGCCGCTTAGGTCTGCCAATTTCTTTGCTATTGCCTGGTAAGAGAATCAATTCAATTAATTCAAGCATTCCAAGTAAAACAGCCAAAACGACTTTTAGCAGCTTAAGCTCTTCACTACAACATGAAGATGACCATGTTATGACATGTCACAAATCTAATGACATTGTTAAATATCATAACCACTACAGTTATACCAGTTATTATTATGCCATACCTCTGTTCCCTCTGCAAACTTATCGAACTCAAACACACCCATAGGTCCGTTCCAAATGACAGTTTTGGTAGTGTCCAAAGCTTCACTAAATGCCTTGATGGAAACAGGCCCAATATCCAATCCCATCCAGCCATCAGGAATAGAAGATGCTGGAACAACCTGCAAAAAAAATAAAGGACTATTCAACCTCCTCACCAATAAATCGTAACAGAATAAATCTCTGAATGAGGTGGACCTCTCTTTGATCCAGTGCCACCTCTAAATGTTTGTAATCAACTAGATAACTGCTCACATGCAGAAAAAGTATGCACTGCATAGAAGACAACATTTTTCGAACTACTTGGCGTAATTTTTAAGGGTGGGATAGCTTGAAACTAGAGAATGTGAAATTGTGATGTTATTGATAAGAAAGAAAAGATTAAGTGGCATTTCATCAAGTGTCCTTCAGAGCACGATCATAATATGGAAGCAAACATACTAACCTTGCTGTTAGCATCAGCGGCAAACTTGTCAGCAACAACCACATCAGATGGAAGCATCAGTGATACCCCTTTAGACTTAGCTTTCTTAAGAAGCACTGTTGCAAGATCAAGCTTGTCCTCCTCCACAAGCGATGATCCAACAGAGTACCCTTGTGCCTTATAGAAAGTAAATATCATCCCTCCACCCAGCAAGAGGATGTCAACCTTCTCCAGTAATGACTCGATCACACCAATCTTACTTGATACCTTTGAGCCACCAACAATTGCGGCAAATGGCTTTTTAGGATTGGACACAGCTCCAACTAGATAGTCAAGCTCCTGAGACCAGAAAAACATGTTCCAAATGTAAAGCCAAGACAAAAGAATGTGAACCAAGCCCAAGATACAGTTGCTGTTTAATCTAGTCAAATCATGAAATACAAACAAAATGACAAAATACCCTAGACATTAGTCTATCTTGCTAGGACTTGCAGGCTTGCTTAGGCTTCTCTATGTACTAGCCAAAATGAATAAAATTTTCAAATCTTCAATTAACCAAAGATGGTTAACAAAGTCAGTTAAACTTACAAAGTGACTTTATAGGTTCCACAAAAGGGCTCAACAACTCCTCACGTCTACATGGGAGCCTAGCGAAGCTTAAACTTCGGTCATGATATGCATGAATTAATCAAAACTAAGATCAGAACCAACTCAATTTATAACCCCTACACACCATTTTGCCAAAAATTACTCTTCTTGGTCCACCACCATGACAAACATTTTGATGTCCAACAACATGACAAACAGCCAGCAACCAATTGCATTTCTGATCGTGAGCAAGGTCCACAACGACTATCCATCCAAAAAAAATTTGATGAGATGGAAACTCCAGCCAGGCTGATTTAGAGTTCAAGACTGAATGATTTCAAGTCTGAAACTAACGAAATGGTGTTCAGTGTTCATATCTGTTAGTTCCACAAATTTGAATTCTACTGACATTTGAAGTTTAGTGCAAAACAAGCTGTGAATCAGTTATTCTCAAATAGTAAAACCAAACCTTTTGCATAAGAAATCCAGCAACAGAAGGCTTCAAGTACTTCGCCACTCCCTCTGTGGAAGCATGGGCTCTGTGTGCAGTGCCAAAAGCATCATTTACATATAAGTCCCCAAGGGATGCTAGCTTCTTTGCAAAGTCAGGGTCATTCTTCTCTTCTTCCTTATGAAACCTCACATTCTCCAGAAGCAAAACACCTCCTTCAGGTGTTTCAGCCACCATTTTCTCAACTTCTTGACCAATACAATCATTTGCCATCTTAACCTATGGAACCAAGAGAAACAAGATGAGCAGACTTTAACTCATATACAAATGACTACAAAATGCAGCTTGACCTAATACATGGAATGCAACAGTAAACCAACCTCAACTCCAAGGAGTTCAGATAGCCTTGGCACAAGAGGCTTCAAGCTGTACTTTGGCGTGACACCCTTTGGACGTCCCTGAAACCCATCATCCAAACAGATGGTATCATTATTTAGTAGCAAACATTTATGCCACAAAAAACATGCAAGAACTGAAAATGACATTGAAACCAGACACAAATAGGTGTTTACTTTTTTATGAAAGAGGCAATGGTCAAGAAGCAATAGCAACCTTAGAGTCTAGGCATGTAATACACAAGGGTGCAATGTCTTCTAAACAAGATGGTAAGAAATGGCAACCTCCAATAGCCCTATCTGGCTATAATCTACCATTTTTTTAACTACAATCCATCTAACAACCACAATGATCTCTCTTGACCACTTTATGCCAATCCATAGTGGGGATGTGGCTTTACTCAGCCAACAAAAGAAGAATGGCAGGATTTGATTCCTTCAATTTTTTTCTTCAACTTAGCTGATCAGTTTCTGCGCCTGACATGAATATTCATAGCTTCTAACACAAATTTACAGTAAGTAGAGACAATGCTTAAATGAAAGCAAACAAAAGATTGCAGTAAAAAGCCAAGTTGGAACCACAGCACTTCCTAAAATCCATTCATTCTGTTCAAATTGATTGTAACAGTGGAGCCATACTCTGTTTCTCTCAAAAATAACAGTGGCCTCATGGTCACCAAGGTTTCAACTCGGGCAAAAATGTAACACCAGATTATAACATTTTATGGACAACAGAAACACAGGAACAGAATGTGAAATATCAAACAACAATAAACGAAATGTAGAGAAAGGGAAAAAACAATTGATATGTGCAAATATTTTTACCGAGATTCGGACATATGATCAGATATGGAATCTTTTACCAAAGTACGACAAAATTTAAACTTAAATACCAATCTACACCCGTTTTGAACATATTTAACAAACTACGACTGTTTTAAAAGCGGAAGTATGAAATCCGATTTTATTTAAAAGCGGAATTAGTAAAAATGTCTTTATCTAAAAAAACGGATGTAACAATTACGATTTTAGCACCAAAAGCGTATTTATCAATTACACTTTTCATTGAATAATTGCATTGTTGAAATTTGTTTTTAAAATTGAAAGCGTATTTCTTCTCCTCTCTCCTCTCTCCTCTCTCCTCTCTCCTCTCTCAGACTCTAGTACTGTGTTGACACCATCGCCGTTGATGCCTTCTTCTCCGGCACCTTTCAACAATCCTCAGCTTTCTCTCTCCAGACAGAGCTCTTTTTCAGGCTCTTCTCGGCTTCTTGGTGGTATAAATATAAATCTTCCCTCTGCTCTTAGCATACCAAACCAGTCTTCATCTTCTCCATCTACTTGGGCTTCAAGTTTTTCGGATTTTCAAAACCCAGAAGTTCTTGCGAGTCCTAGTTCAAGTTCAAATCCATATGGCGGTACTTCAAGTAATGGAATCAGTAATTTAACAACTGGGTCATTGTCTTCAACCATGAACTCATCTGCTCCTCCTTTTTATGGCCGTGTACAGGCTGACCTGATTGATGAATTTCAGCTCCAAGATCAGTTCTCTTTCCTCAACGATGGGCCAAAAAACTCTGATTTGTACTACCCACCAACAGATTTAGCGCCCAGCCCCAACGCAAGCGGCGGTGATGGTATTAACTTCCCTTATGCTAACTGGGTTAGCTCCACCAATGGCCTCCCTCACCGACGGCGGAGCTGCTCGGTGAGTGACATCTCTGCAGATGACCCAGCTGGTGGGTTTGGGTGGAAACCTTGCTTGTATTTTGCTAGAGGGTACTGAATCTAGCAAGTCTGCTTTACATTGAAGTCAGACTTGGTAAGTCCGCTTTATACAGCGAAGTCGTTTTTACTAATTCCGCTTTTAAATGAAATCGGATTTCACACTTCCGCTTTTAAAACAGCCATAGTATGGCAAATATGTTCAAAACGGCTGTAGATTGGTATTTAAGTTTAAATTTTGCTGTACTTTGGTAATAGATTCATCAGATATGCAGACTTTAGCAACTTTGGGCCAGGAAGGTTTCAGGGTTCAATTTATCCTCCACATTGCTACCTCGTATCATTGCTCCCACATATGATAACTGTGCACGCTTCCGACCAACAATGACAACGAAGACGACAATGGGAGTACACACTAGAATGATAGATTCTCGACTTTGGCGTTAAGGTTCTTATGGTGAAGGATCTAAATACGAAATAAAAACCAGATCTTCTAATAAGTAGTATACAACAAGCATGGAAAAATGACAGCCCTAACACAAAAATAAAATTTTAATTGCAAGGAGACAACGATCCCCCATAAACATGAGAAAACAAAGGGGAATACCAGATGAGAAGATAGGATGACTTTGGCGCCATAACCCGTCAAGTATTTGATGGTGGGAACGGCGGCTCTGATTCTAGTGTCATCAGTGATGTTGAAATTGTCATCCAATGGAACGTTCAGATCAACCCTCACGAAGACCCTCTTTCCCTTCAGACCAGCTTCCTTCAGAGAACTAACACTCTTCTTTGTCGCCATCCTTACACTTCCTACCAAACAGATCAACAAATCGCAGTACAGATCGAGAACTATACATGCAAATGGAAACACACATAGGTATAAAATACACTTGATGCATGTTGATGGGGATTGAATCAACTCACTGTGGTGATGATGATGATGAAGACGATGATGATTACAAGGATCAGAGCGATCAGAGATTAATGAAGCAAAGATTGCCGAGTGCGACTAAGCTTAATACAGAGCAAAGAGGGTGGAAGGATCGAGAACAATTTATAGAATTGCTGTAATGAGGCGTAAGATAAGGTTATTCCTGCTAACGAAAGCGTGATGCTTTCTACGCATACAGTTAGATTTGTGACGCGCCTCTGTTTGGGGACAAACGGTGGGTCAGGGCCTCAAATTACTGCGGATCTTTTGCTAAGGGTAAAAGCTGAATTACCGTTTGCTAACTTGGGAAACAAGACCCCCAACAAATTACCTTTTCTTCAAATTTCATCCCCCATGTATGGGTGTGCAAATAATTCAAAATTTATATCCAATACTAATCCGACTTCACCTACGCTAGGGTTGGAGTGTAATAGAGTCGAAATCAAAGTAAGAGCAAAGGTTAAAAGAAAAACTCAGACTCCAATTGATCTTGTAGAGATGGAAAAGCTAGAGAGAGAAATATAAAATGTGAAACCGAGGATAAAATGACTCCGCAATAGCATACATCATAATTTATAGTTTATAATTTAGTTTTTATTAGAAGTTGGCGTAACATAGTGTCAAAGGTACGCGGTGAAATCTTAATTTCAGAATAGAGTGAGTTATCTACAGATAGTCAATGATGAGTGGTTTATCTATATACTAGTAATTATTCGTACCTGAAGACACGACGTAACAAAAAATTAAATTAAAACTCGAAAAATACTATATTATCTATAGGCTCTTTGAAACCTAAAACAACTTGTTAATTTGAAATTAAGGCAGTCCATACTATTATCCAAAAATTTCAGTAAAATTTTCTTTAAAAATAGGAATCCATAAAAATCTAAACATGCCTACAGCATTTACAATCATACATAATAATCATCATAATTCACCATACTTACTACATTATCAATACATACCCAGTCATCAGTTTAAGTCTATCTTCATACTAATTTCAAGAACCAAAAGATCAAGCTAGTCCTTACTAATTTCAAGAAATTTGGGCAGAATTTTCTCTTAAAATAGAAGTCAAAAAAATTTAAATCTGCCTATAAAATTTACAATCATACATAACAATCATCATTATACACCATATCACCACAATCATCAATACATACCCAACTACCAAAACAACCATCATTACATACTCAAAATCATCACAATCATGTATAATTAGTTAACTGTACAAAAGACAGAATACAAAAAATGCACACATGCATAAATAGAGAAACACCCTCAACTTCATCTTCATATCCTTCTATGTATACCTAAAAATATTTGAAATATAAAAATTATCGAAATATGTGAGGCAAAATAAAATAATTGTAAATCCGAATCATAAGACCTCTTACTTTTATCGTTAGTTGGATTCAACATAATTATTGTCATCAATTCCATTACCCTAAATTATCTAAAAAACTAATAAGCACACACATTTGTATGTAGTTTGGGGGGCGAAGAGGATTTAGATTGATATAGATAAGAATTTAGAGAGATTGTAAGAGATTACCAATTTATCTAGAAAAAGATATGGAGGAGTGTAGAGAAAAACTTGCGATCAAATAATCGAGCTCCTATCGAATTAGGTGTAATGTATGAGAGAAATAACACATAGTATTTTTATGTAGCATTTCAACAAACAGTTCATTTGTCTAATGATTTTAATCGTTATTGGTGGTAGAGTAGTGGTGTGTGAGTTCGATACGCGAATGTTTGATTGGTCGCAGTTGCGTGTGTGTTTGTGCATGTATTGTGTGTGTTGTGTTTCTACATAAAAAGTAGAGAAATATAAAGATTCTCAATAAGAGAGGTTGTCACACCTGGACAATAGTTTGATTAGTGGTGGATTAGTCATCGTCAAAGGCGGATAAGTCGATATTGGATTACAGATCGTTTGAGTTTTTTCAGAGATAATGTCATTTTTCAACAACTCTCTTAAATGTCCTTTTCATCCCTCTAATCCTTCTCTTCATCACTATCCTTAATGTCCTCGTATCAATACGAACACACTTTGCCCAGTTGGGGGAATGCACAACCACCTAAATTATTCACATAACACAATAAAATTAACACAATATATAAATTGTATGAATAGTAAAATTATTTTAATGCAGTGATATAAGAGTAAATTTACCTGATTACGCCAGCTCCATCCACAAAGGTCCTTTATATATATTCTATAGTTCTCTTTGGCAAATTCACTCCCATCCTACAAAGATTGAACCTCATAATTAAAATTCAATCCAATCCATTGTAAAATTAAAAGTTGAAATGTTGAAAAGATTACATAATTCAGTAGAAATAAACTTGTTTAAACTATATCATTTACTTGTCATAAGAATCTTATAACATAACTTTTAGATAAACAATATTCGTGGTGCAATTCGCATATTCCAAAATGAGAACACTAATATGATACGAAAATGTGCATCTGAATAGTGCCACATAAAGGTGTCTGCAAATCAATCTCAACAAACTTGACAGATTGTCATAGCCTAAGTTAACCAAACAAGAAACTGACGTCTTTGTCATTTGAAAAGGCAAGTCCAAAGATGTTGATGGTCTAAATTTTTGGAATAAAGACTAAATTATCAATTGTATCTTCATTCAATATCTGAGCTTTGATTACCCTTGAGGCACATCTAACAACCATTATTCGTATGTCATTACAAAACTCATCTTTCGATGTAATATTTTGCAACAATATTATTGAACATCCAACTTTCAACTCCAATTTAAATGGTGACAACCCTAAAGGATTCAGCGAGTTTAAGTACTCTTTAGGATAGTGATTCCTAATGGTACGCTCACCACATTCAGACATTTATTTGGCTCAGCGCTCTATTATCTCTTCTTAGGTGCAAAACAATATCCTGCATACAATTACTCTCACTACCATCGTCAGACAAAATCACAGTTATTTCATCCGTGGTTGGAAGGTTGTAACGATGTCTATCAGTTGATGAGGTGTAATGAAGGTGAGTACGTAAATCATGATCTGAAGATTCTAACTCAATTAGTATTTCATGTGCATGTTTGTACTTTGAAGCAAAATGATTCATTGACAACAAACAGTTTTGTATAGTGTGGAGGACATCTTGACGCATGTTATTATTCTATGCACATTGAATATTCAATGCAGTGACTGGGTCATATATGTACAACTAATAGTAGATGGATGCGCGACCATCCGGGGGTAACATTGACCCAGTACGATGACGTAATTCCCCATGGATAGTGAATGATGTTGGCCCTCTTGAGTTGTGTAATCTATCATCAAGCTTAACACCCAAGCTCGTGAAAAGCATTAGTTGTCTTGTACTCCCTAATATGCCGATAAAATGATTTTGATTAACCATCATGGCCATCGTACAATGCACGAATAGAAGGTGGGGGTGCAATTAGTTCCAACAACCTAATTTACCTTGTAGACAACATGTTCCAAATCTTGGATTGGACAATCCTGTGCAAGATAATCTCTCATCCTGCCAACATAAGGTCGAACAATAAGGACACTGAATATTCATCTGCCCAAGAAAATGACACTCATTACTGACAGGGATAATAATAGTCAATTCATCATCAGTAACCATACTGTCAACATCGCTAAAGGGTTCTGATGGGGATCTACAAATAATCATTTTATGCACGCAAATATGAGAAGTAATGAAATATTAAGCACCTAATAAACTACGTAGAATATATATACCTTGTTGAATTTGTCGCAACAGGAGACGACGTGATGAGGGCATTGTCGTCAGTTTGATGAGGTTGTGATGCAACATTGGAGATAGCTTTATAGTGAGCATAATCTGTCTCTAAATTCTGAGGCGAGGGTAAAGGTCACACAAAAATAGGTGAAATAGATCAAAGTCAGTTGGAATGACAACTGGGTCGAACGCAATTGTAGGTGTTACATAACATTTCAAATTATGTGTCTATGCCCTTTTTTGTGGAAGGTGTGTCATAATGGCTTGGTGTAATGGAGTAAGGTCTTGTAAATTATAACATAAGGGTTGTGGGGGAGTGTAAATCACCGGTATTTTCCTACGCAACTATTCAACAGGGGAAAGATAATACATTACAACCATATTTTTATTAAGAGCAATAGAAATACTTATCAATCCAAAGACATTAAATCAGAAAACTTACCAAAGAAGTAGACATTTTTTTTTTCCATTTTTCAGGCAATTAGTGGGTGAGCGACATACTTTCAACGTTGAAGGTGCAATATAATTGCTAAGAGTTGGTGTTTCTTGTCCAAATACCCATTCATTCTGGTATTGTAGATAGTTATTTTTTTGTATTTTAATCCAAATACAAATGATAGGAATAATAAAATGTACCTCAACATTGCACAACTTATTAGGCAAATGTTCAGCCAATATTGTACTAAGAGATGGTTGGGAATGCGACAGGATTGTATTGTAATCTACATTAACCATGTTAGCAAGTGAAGCATGGTTGGGGAGTTGGGAGATGGATTGGTGTCGCCTCCTTGAATTAGTTGTTGATTTGGGCTCGCGAGTTGGCGTCAATACTGAAAAGTATTTGGTTAGAGACGAAGTATAATTCTCATAACGCTCTCTTTCCTGAAGTGCGTGTTGTGCCAGCTCACTTGGCAAACATGTACTACTATCATTGCAATTTCGTTCACGTCTGGCGCATTGGGCCTCAATTTTAGGGGAAACGAAATTTGATGCGGGAGCCTAAGATAGGAAGTGATTGCCAAAACAATTAGCGAACTAATATAATTTCAAATCCCTAATAGAAATTGCATTAATCTACCGCAAGTAAACACAATGTATCAATTTATGAAAGAA